CTGGGAATGTCCCAAAAAAATCCTGAAAAAATCCTGAAAATATCCTGAAATTATCCCGAAAATACCCTGAAAATATCCTGAAATTATCCTGGAAATATCCCAAAAAAATCCTGAAAAAATCCTGAAATTATCCTGAAAATATCTTTGAAATGTTCTGAAAATATCCCGAAAATATCCCGAAAATATCCCCAAAATATCCCAAAAATATCCCAAAAATATCCCAAAAATATCCCAAAAATATCCCAAAAATATCCCAAAATTATCCCGAAATTATCTCCAAAATATCCCCAAAATATCCCAAAAATCTCCTGAAAATGTTCCCGAAAATATCCCAAAAAATCCCCAAAATCTCCCCGGAATCTCCCGTGAGCCCCCCCAGAAATTCCCGAGGTTTTCCCGGTTCCGGGGGCGGTTCCGGGTTTGGGAATTTGGGAATTCGGGAATTTGGGATTTTGGGATTTGGGGAATTTGGGATTTGGGGATTTGGGGATTTTGGGAATTCAGGAATTTGGGAATTTGGGAATTTGGGATTTGGGGATTTGGGGATTTTGGGAATTCAGGAATTTGGGAATTCGGGATTTGGGGATTTGGGAATTTGGGATTTTGGGAATTCAGGAATTTGGGAATTTGGGATTTGGGGATTTGGGGATTTTGGGAATTCGGGAATTTGGGAATTTGGGATTTTGGGGTTTTGGGATTTTGGGAATTCAGGAATTTTGGGAATTCGGGGCTCTTTCCCAGAATCCACCAACACCTCGGAGCTGCGGATTTGCCGCATGAACAAAGAGAGCGGCCCCTGCACGGGGGGGGAGGAGCTTTACCTGCTCTGTGACAAAGTGCAGAAAGGTACCGGGGACACCTGGGGACACCAAAACCTCACCTGGGGACACCTGGGGACACCTGGGGACACCTGGGGACACCAAAACCTCACCAAAACACACCTGGGGACACCAAAACCTCACCTGGGGACACCAAAACCTCACCTGGGGACACCTGGGGACACCAAAACCTCACCAAAAC